ACACACACACACACACACACACACACACACAATAGACATTCTTAGACATACAAACAGAAGCCAACATATTACACACATACACACTCACAAACAAACACACACACACACACACACACACACACATACACACACACACACCCCTAGCAAACACACACACACACAATCCTTTCAAATATTTTCTTTTTTAATAAGGAATATCCATTTCACCTGCTTGTACTTCACTGTTGTCCAATAACGTTTTTTTCATCTTTAGTCGCCATCTTACCACTTTTTAACTGTTTCCTTCCAACCGAATCTATTTTATGATTTTCATATTCCACTCAGTTATATGATTGGCTGGTGCTCTGGTGCGGTTTGTTCCTTTCTTATTAAAGAAACATCGTCCTAATCACCGCTTCTCCCTTCCAATGTTTGTTACCCTCTTGAAACACCTCTAATCCTTGGCACTTATATGACCTTATTGAGTTGCAAGTGCCGAAAAACTTATTAAAACTAAACATAGTACACCCACTCTACCCTTGCCACAAGTAAAGCACAGCACACACAGTCAGTAGTCTGATTTTTTCCCCCACTCTAGCATCAAGCTCCTCCGGGTACGCGCACAACTTACAATAAACTTCTGGCGTGTCTGTGACGTCACTTTATAATAATAATCCCTGTTTGATATATCTACAAAATACACTGTGTGCCTGTCGTGGCCTGATTCTGCTGTTCCAGCGAGATAACAGACATTTTATGAGCTGTACGCATGCGCGCCTGTATTCCACACGTATGCGCACGGCGCGGAGACCCAAAGAGGTTGTAATGGCAGGGGAGACTTCCTCCTCTTTGGGAATGTCTAACGTTTTTTTGGTGTTTTTTGGTGTTATTTGGTGTTATTTTACTCTTTTACTTATTTTCAAAATAGCCACACGAAACAACTGTTGCTTGATGCCAGTGAGTGTGCTTGTGTGAGCGTGTGTGATTGTTAGTGGGGGTTATTTTGTGCGCCTCTTTGTGTGTGTGTGTGTGAGTGTGTGTGTGAGTGTGTGTGTGTGTGTGTGTGTGTGTGT